CATCACCTCGAGAAAAGCGCTTATGAACAAGAAACGTTAACCCTTAAGTACCATGGCGGGGTCAAAATTGACCCCCCGCGTTTTTAATGCCAAGTTTCGCTACCGAAACATAGATTGAGCATTGCGCGCTTTCTGCTAATCTTCGACCGGTAGGTGATTTATCGATCTACGAAAATTCCGTTAGTTTATCTGTTACTACTGCAGAGTTAGGCACGCATAGGGTCAATTTTGACCCGCTTATGGTGTAAGTGTTTCTAGTGCAATTAACGAGTAATTTGAAATGGCGGGGTGTAGTCGCAATAAACGTCCTCTGACACAGAAAGAACTTGAAGAGGAGGGACAAAAAATTATGGACAATGGACTAGATAGTGACAGTGAGTTTTTAGACCAGGCTAGTGAATACAGTGATCACGAAACAGACAGTGAAGAGGAATGGGACGATGATGACGAAAACAATTGGTAAATTAATAATTCCGAAACTGGTAGTGAATATTCGGGTGAAGAAAGTGATATAGCTGACTCAAGGGATGTGTTTTATGGCAAAAATAGGTACAAGTGGTCTAAAACTTCTCCCACCTTTTCTCGTACACGTAAGCATAATTTAATTAGTCATTTACCTGGTGTTATTGGAAAAGCTCGAGCTAGTATGCCAGAGAAACCAGTTGATGCTTGGGAATGTATTATTAGCCACGATATATTGCAAGAAATTCTTGAGAAAACCAATGAACGAATAACTAATATGGCTTCTAAATATAATTTACACAATTTATCGTGTCAATATACCAATCATCTTGACATAATTCAATTAAAGGCCTTCTTAGGCTTATTATATTTAGCTGGGGTATTTAAATCCAATAATGAAGATTTAAGGTCTTTATTTGCTACGAATGGTACTGGCCGTGATATATTTCGAGCAACCATGTCACTAAACCGATTTTATTTTTTGCTTGGAAGCCTTTGTTTTGACGACCCAGCTACTAGACAAGAACGTATTGCGCACGGAGATAAACTGGCAACTATATCCAATATTTTTAATATGTTTATAATTAATTGCCAGTCCAATCATAGCTGTGGTGAATATCTCACAATAGATGAAATGCTTATTGCATTTAGAGGAAGGTGCCAATTCAGGATGTATCTCAAAAATAAGTCTGACAAATACGGTCTGAAAATGCAGTGTTTAGTAGAATCTAAGACACATTATTTGCTAAATGGTTTTATATATACTGGAAAAGATACACGCAGAGCAAATCCAAAAAAGTTATCCATCCCCACTCTAGATGTTTTGACACTTATTCCACCAATTTCTGGTACAAATAAAAACATACCAGCAGATAAATGGTTTTCGTCAATTGAGTTCATAAAAGAACTGAGAAGTCATAAAATTTGATATGTTGGAACTTTAAAAAGAAATAAAAGAGAGGTTCCTGCTGAATTTCAACCCCAAAAAAACAGGCCACCTAATTCTGCCTTATTTGGTTTTACAGGAAGCGAGAGCCTTGTATCTTTTGTTCCTAAGAAAAATTGTACAGTGTTGTTAGTGTCAACTACGCATTATTCCAATACAATGGTTAATGGAAAGCCAGAGATTATAAATTTTTACAACGAGACAAAAGGTGGGGTGGATTCATTGGATAAGAAATGTAGATGCTATAATACTGGCAGAAGAACTCGTAGATGGCCTCAAGCAATATGGTTTCGCATTTTGGACATTGCAGAATTAAATGCTAACGTAATTTTTAATGAAGTTCAGCAAAATCAAATAATGGAAAGAAGATTGTTTCTAACCACTTTAGGTCAAGAACTTATTAAGGCCCATTTAACCCGTAGAGCTCAGCAAACTTGTTTACCGAGAGAAATTCGTAGTGCCATTTTTAAAATTTCCGGACTTCAGAAACCAATGCCTGCCGCAAATCCAGAGCCACAACAACGAAAAAAGAGGGGAAGTTGTAAAATATGTCCATATTCCAAAAACCAAAAAAAGATAAATAAATCGTGCCATAAATGTCGAGATTTTATTTACAAAAAAGATTTTATTTGCAAAGATAAAAGACTACGTAAGGATAGTTTTCAATAAATGTTTGTTTGAAGGACAAATACCGCAAGAGTGAAACCAGGCAAATACAATTCTAATATATAAGAAAGGAAACAGATCAAAATTAGCTAACTATAGGCCAATATCTCTCTTGTCACAAATCTATAAAACTTTCACTAAGGTAATCACAACTAGACTAAACAACAAATTTGATGCATACCAACCAGTTGAGCAGGCAGGATTTAGAAAGGGGTACAGCACAACCGACCACCTTCACACTCTTAAAATATTGATAGAAAAGACCAACGAATACAACCTTCCAATATACCTAGCGTTCGTTGACTATGAAAAAGCGTTTGACAGCATAGAACTATGGGCAGTGGAAGAAGTGCTAGTTAATTGCCGAATAGATTCACGGTACAGAATGTTAATCCACAATATATATCAAAACTCCACTATGAGAATTCAGCTAGACAGAGATTTGCAAACTCCATTAATTAGAATTTGTAGAGGTGTCAGACAAGGGGATACAATCTCACCCAAACTATTTACTCTGGCGTTGGAAGACATTTTTAAATCTATAGACTGGGACAATAAAGGGATTTGTATAAACGGGAAATATTTAAATCATCTAAGATTCCCGATGATGTACTCCTGATAGCAACAACTATGGAACAATTACGAATAATGATTTCAGACCTAGAAAAAACATCTCTTGAGAAAGGACTAAAACTGAATCTAAAGAAAACTAAAATAATGACTTAATATACAGAAGGACAGATCAGTAATTACCATAGGTGGAACAGACATAGAATACGTCCAAGAATATATTTACTTAGGACAAGCTATCAGAGCAGACAAAAGTAACCAGACTAAAGAAATAACCAGAAGAATAAGAATGGGGTGGGCTGCATTCGGAAAACTCTCATATACTATCAAAAACCAAAAAATACCTTTAAAATTAAGAACGAAGGTATTTAATGCATGCGTCCTACCTGTTCTGACATATGGTGCCCAGAAGTGGACGTGTACCAAGAGCAACTTAGATAGAATAAAGAAAACTCAAAGAGCTATGGAAAGACAAATGTTGGGAATATCGTTGAGAGATAAAAAGAGGAACGAGTGGATAAGATGCAAAACCGAAACAACAGACGCTGTCGAAGATGCATTGAAATTAAAATGGAAATGGGAAAAAGATGACATTAAGCAAAGGTCCAATGTGGAAAAGACAAACAGAAGACAGAGCCAAATAAAGACAAATGGGAGAGGCCTATATTCAACACATGAATAGATTTTGGGCTATAGCTAGATAGATAGATTAATATTTTATTATCTTCACCTCTAACTTTATTAGACAGAATTTTAAGTATATATAACCTAGATTAACAGGAATGTTGCAGTTTGTTCATATACAAGTTCTAATTTAAGGTTCTGGTAAAAGTTAAACTTAGAAAATTAACTTCTGATTGTTTAACGGTAAATTATTTAAAATTAGGTTAGCTGAACACCGAGATCTGTTTTTATTAAAAATTATATATTGTGTTTTTTTATCTTCTTCTTCTTCAGATGCAAATCCACTAATGGATGTTAGCGATCACATTTTCCATTAATTCTCTATTTCTTGCAATATGTATCAGAGATTGTATGTCGTTAATCCCTGTCCATTGCCTTATATTTCGGAGCCAGGACATTTTCTTGCGTCCCATTCCTCTCTTGCCTTCAATTGTTACCCTCGATTATAAGTTGGAGGAACTGGTATTTTTCATTTCGCATGATGTGACCTAGATACGCCGTTTTCCTTTTCTTGATGGTTTCGAAAAGTTGGCGTTCTTGGTTTATTCTTTTAAGGACATCTATATTTGTGATTTTCGCTGTCCATGGTATTTTTAGGATACGGCGATAAAGCCACATTTCGAAAGCTTCTAATCTGTTTATATCCCTCGTTTTGAGTGTCCAGCCCTCTACGCCATATAGCAGCACTGACCATACGTAGCACTTAGTAAACCTTAGTCTCAGTTGAAGATCGAACTCTGAACAAGTCAGTACCTTCTTGAATTTTACGAAAGCTTGTCGAGCTTGCTCAATGCGACATTTTACTTCCCTGTCCGATGCCCAGTCTTCAAAAAGCCACGATCCCAGGTATTTAAATTTACTCACTCTTTCTATGGATTTACTATTCAGTGTTATGGTGGAGTTTTCAAGTGCATCCAAATTTCTGGAGATGATCATAAATTTGGTCTTTTTGGTATTAATCTCTAATCCCATTCGCTTACTGTATTCTCCGATTATAGTGACAAGTTTTTGAAGATCGACTATGTTGTCACAAATTAAGACACCATCATCAGCATATCGTATGTTGTTGATCAATACTCCATTTACCTTGATTCCCATCTCTGCATCCTCCAAAGACTCTTGAAATATGGCTTCCGAATAAATGTTAAATAAAAGAGGGGAAAGCACACATCCCTGTCTGTTTTTTCTATAGAGAAATTAAACCCAGCTTTTAACGTCGAATTTTCAAGCCGAGTTAAAAATTTTTGTAAAATTCCAGTTGCTGATTATATATTGTTGATTTAGGATAAACGACGATGTGGTCTGTATAAAGACTGGCTTTAATAGGTGCTCTAATTTCATCAATAACGCTATTAATAGCAATTAAGAATAATGTTGGACTTATTACGGAACATTGAGCTGTGTATATTCTAGAAGTAGATAATTTAATTTGTTCTTAAAATTATTACTGTTCAGAAGAAGCGAAGGTGAAAACACGTCATATTTGACGAAGATAAGTTAAGAAAATTAAAAGCAGCGTTTTTTTATGGTATATTATTAAAAATCGTTTAAGTAAATAGTATTTTTTGGCAACCTATTGCTTTGCAAAATATTTTAAATAAGCCAATTTTTGTAATTAATTATGTCATTTTTTATTAACCTGCTCTTATTAAATATGTTTTATCTTTTGCAGGTCTCTCAGAAATACCAAAGGAAATCAGCATACTGTTGTAGTCGCTGTTGTAAAAAAGAGGTCAGTATTTAGTATTTTTATAATTAAAAGTATAAAAAGATATTATTAGGATGATTAAGAAGAAAGTTGCACTTTTAATTAGTCTCTAGTTGAGGAGAAATATTAACTAAACCTTTTAAAAATAAACATAACCGGAAAACATTTTTCCAAGTGGCTAATCCTGAAATAGCATAGCAGAATACTAGATATGCGACATATAAATTACAATATTATAGGGTTTTAATTGGGCGCCTATGTGTGTTTGTGTGAAATATCATCGAAATTTTGTATTCAGTACTTCGGAGGGTACGTAAAGCTGTCGGTCCGCCTGGGCTAGAGTACATCGGTACTAGTTACCTGAAACCGAGTTAAAGATTCTAAAGAAAATTTAAACTAAACATTTTCCATAGGAGTCAATTTTTGCTTTTTCTGTAGACATTTTCGCCTATAAAAAATTATAGAATGCAAAAGTTCGTTTTTTAATTTTACATATTCTCCTTACAGCCTTCATATTCCCCCTCCGAAAATTTTATAAAAAAAAAACGTATACTAAATTTCGTTAAGATCGTTTTTCTAATATTGTTCTGAAGCTATTTTCTTGTGGCATTTTAAATTAATTACTATTTAACTGAGAATAAGCCACAATTAAAGATAAAAATACGTTTATTGACGTTTCAATTTCCACTTCGGAAATCGTTCTCAAAATACAAACAGTAAATTAAACAAATTTTGTTTTTTGTTACATAGTGAAAAATTCTTCTAATAATTTAATTTTATCTGACTCATTTATATTGACAATTCAGACATACATTATGCATTTTAAAGTAGACGACTTTAAAATGATATTGCCAATATTGTTGAGTTGCGCTCCTGGGACGACTTTACTTATAAGATAGTTCATTCGATTACATGAAATCAACTTTAACTTGAGAATATCCGTCAGAAAAAATCATAGCATGTAATTCGTCTTTAAAAAGACAAACACATGACATGATGACAGTAAAATTCTCCTGTTAGTGATTCCATAGTAAATTATGAGGGAAGACCCAGGAAAATTAAAACGTCCATAAACATATTTTTATCTTTAATTGTGGCTTATTCCCAGTTAAATAGTAATTAATCGTTTTACTAGTTTTTACATAATAATTTTGCAATCTGAAGTCTGCAAAAAATGCAAATTTTCAAAATTATGCTAGGCCCAAAAAAAATAGTCGAACATTTCACAACGCACTTTCAAAAATATTAATAGGTCAACTGGGAGAGCGTGGAGAAGTTTTTAAAGTATTAAACCATTTTTAGGCTAATAATTAAATAAAATAACTTCGCAAGTTTTACACATATATTAATTTCAAAATTTGGACACTACAGGCCAATCTCACTAACATGTACAATGTTCAAATTACTAGAAAAAATTATAAATAAACGTTTGCTTTGGTTTCTTGAAGAAAACAATCTGATAGATGCAGCACAGTGTGACTCAGACCCAATCGAAGTACGATGGATAACCTAGTACTACTCCAAACAGAAATAATCCAAGCTATGTCAAATAAAAATGACGTCATTACAGTTACCTTAGACTTAGAAGGTGCCTTCGACACAATAAACACAGCTGCTATTATTAGAAAACTTGTGCAACTTAATTTAACGGGTAATATTATCACCTTTATAAACAATTTTCTACAAGAGAGATACGGTAACAAGGTTGGTTTACCTACAAGGTTTGCGACAAGTAGTCGCAAACGGAAAAACATCTATATCACATATCTCACAAAATGGAGTCCGCCAATGCTCAGGTCTCAGCCCCACACTATTCCTTCTTAGCATTAACGATTTAAACTCTCTTGTTCCCCCTCCAATAAAATACTCAATATACGCAGATGATCTTGTTCTTTATTGCCAAGGTAAAGTTACAAGGAGCACATGCTCTTTACTCCAAAACACTCTCACCAATCTTTATAACTGATCCACTGAAATTGGAGTCAAATTTTCATCTGGAAAATCTAAAGTCATAAACCTCTCTAGAAGACATCACACTGACCGTCCTTTACTTCACCTAAATGGATCTCCTCTTCAAGTGGTTGATAAACACAAATTATTAGGAGTAATATTCGATAACAGACTTACATGGAGAGATCAGATACAAAATACAAAAACAAACTGTCTAAATAGAATCAATATCTTAAAAACTCTAGCTCACCATCAATGGGGGCGGAAGAGAAAGTCCTCTTAAGAATTTACAGAACATTGATCCGCTCTAGGTTGGATTACGGAAGCATTCTCTAAATATCTGCTTCCAATACTTACCTTAAATATCTGAATACAATTCAAAGTATTCAGTATTACAAATCAAGTCCTCTGAAAGTCTTTATATCTAATCTTCAGAACCTCCACTTTTTATAAGACGGCAACGTCTACTTCTGTCTTACTTCTCTAGAATTTCTGCTAATCAAAAAACCCAGTCATTAAATTAATTAATACTCCCCACTCTGTCCAGATAATAGTCACCCTCGAGCACATTCTCTCTCACAAATTTTAAAAACTATACTAAAAGACATAGACCCAAAACTCACACCTCCATTTAGTACGTCCAGAATTCTCCCGTGGACCAAAAGCTACCTACTGTCCTTACCAGCTTGAACCGATACAAAAAAGAAGAAATGCCCAGAACTCTCTTGGTACAAGCATTTGAGGAACTTATACAGACACAGCGTTATGACAAAATTCTCTACACAGATGCCTCCAAAGAAGAACAGGCCGTCGGTTGTGCGTCAGTACCTCAAACAATAGTAGCGTCACATCGGCTTTCTTCCAAATGCAGTATACACAGTCGAACTGTATGGAATACTCAAGGCATTAGACTCGCCCATTGCTAATGAGAAATCATTAGCAATATGCATCGACTCTCTCTCAGCGATTGACTTAATTAAAAATATATACTCCATACATCAGATTGTACAGTGCATCCACAGTATCTGCCAACAACAGTCAAAAAATGGTGTTTCAGTAACTATCATCTGGATACCATCCCATGTTGGTATCAATGGAAATGAGAACGCTGATCATGCAGCAAAACTGGCCTGCTCCTTAGAAAATATGGAAAACATACAACTTTACCAAGACCTAAAGGCCAGTATCAAGAACAACGTACTAAGCACTTGGCAAACACACTGGAACATGCAAAATACAAAACTACGCACAATTCAACCAACTGTTACCTCCATCACCATGCCTCAAATGAGCAGAAAAGACAATATCATTATCAGAAGGCTCAGAATAGGTCACACTCGTCTTACTCATAGATATCTGATGTCTTCTGAAAACCATCGTCGCTGTGAACATTGTAATGAGTCCTTAACAGTCCAGCACATATTACTAGAATGTGTCCACTACAAACCTCAAAAGACTACTACAACTTTCAAAATAATTTAAGTGATCTACTCGGTTCTACAAACATGTACAGTGCCATAATTCGTTTCCTAAAAGACTGTCACCTTTACTACTTAGTGTAATTAAATTAAGATGTTAATGTATCCTAACTTGTATAAAAACAGATTGTATATGTATGTAAACATAAACACATTGTAATCAATTTTGTACCAGTATCAATGGCCCATAGTTGCCGAGACACTTTAATTTAAAATAAAAAAAAATTTGGACACTTGTCTTGTCAAGCACTTTTTATATAAAAAAAAATTTGCGTAAAATGTCGCTCGAAGTGCACGGAAGGTAGGGTGAGGCAACGATGCCTACCATACTCTCAGAAAAAAATGCCAGGAAAAATAATTTCAGACCACGGCCTATAATTTTACAAAAAACGATGTATCATGACGATGACATCATTCCATCAAACAACTCGATTTGGTAATGTATTTACGACCAGTGTTATTCAAATAACTTAAACGGCTTTTGGAAATTAATATACCGATCAATATTATCATTACGATTCTCATCTAATATTAACTATAGTTTAGTGAACTGAAAAATAAATAATTATATTTAAAATTAGAATCACTGTACGAATATAGAAAATATTTAACCGTATGTAGAAAATAAATTAATGACGTTGGCTCCAACAAACAATGTGAAAATCGATGAAATAATGTTGGAAAATTCTACATTAAAACAGTTTATTAATAGATTATATTCGTGTAATTATATTTAAATTAATGAATGTACAGTAAATAATTTAGTAAATTAAGTGCTACAATAAATTTAACACAACATAAATAACAAAGTAAATATTCAGGCATACCAGCAATCCGAAATACATATTTCGATTACTTCAGTCTGTCTGTGGAAAACTCATCGATTTCACGTAAAAATCTTATACATGTTTTTGAAGATTCTAAAAGGTACTCGTATAAAAGGGATACCTGATGACAATTTTTTTTTTATTTATTTAAACATACAAAACCCACATCAACCACCAAAGGTTATTAGTAGGGGGACATACAGAGTAGTACAGTTTGATAAATTAAAGTTTATTATAAATGTTTATGTCTTTTAGAAACTGCAATAAACCCGAGATATTTGTCGTAAGCGCACTTCTCAGGTTTCCACTAATTCCTCGGCATGTTCTCTGAGGTTGGAACTGCGGACAGTCGACTATCAGATGCTTCACGGTGAGTTGAATAGAGCAGTAGGTACAAATTGGAGCTGGTTCTTTATTTAGAAGGTGTTGGTGTGTTAGTATTGTGTGGCCGATTCGAAGACGATTTACGATTACTTGATCTCTTCTTTTTTCTTGTTGTGGTAGGCTGGCGTCTACTCGAGGCTTTATTGTTTTCAACTTAGAGTCTATTGCATCCCAGGTTGCTTGCCATAACTTTATTATATGATTCATGGACTGTCGTTTATGGTCCGTGTGGGGATATTTAGTAATTTCTGAAACATTTTTATTTTTGATGGATTTTAATGCCAACTGATCAACTTCCTCGTTGCCTTTAATGCCAATGTGTGAAGGTATCCAGATAAATGTAACCTTTTTATTTATAGGGTGTAGTGCATTAAGTTCATTTCTT